TTTATTTTTTTATCATTTTTTCTATAAAATTAATAATTTTAATAATAAAAAATAAAAATATTTTAAAAAACACACTTATTTGTTTTTAAACATGTCCTTATTAGTTATTTGATATTAAATAACAACCGCTAACTATTGTATAGCCAAACAGTTATATTTATGAATCTGCTATTTACCATCCGTTACCCACTTTTCACTATCCGCCATCCGCTATCTGCTTACCACCACCCGCTACAGCTATCCGCTATCCGCTACTCGCTACCTACCATCTGCTGAATTTTAACTGCTGTATCAAATAGACCCTTAAAAGGAGACCTGATTCCCCCGATCAAACACTAGACTTTTCGGTCTTCATATCTCACTTATTTCTAAATCATTTTAAGCATGTAATATATCAATAAAAAGCTTAGGAAATTATTTATCTACTCATATAAATTTTATAGCATACAAAGGAACATATAAGTTTTTACCATTAACAAACTTTTAAGATCTAAAAACTTAAATTTACAAAAACCACTTTAAATATATTATATTCAAAATCTTTTATATCAGATTCTTCAACTAAAACCCACAACAAACTCTGGTGCCATTTAATTAACATTAAATTCTAGATTTTCAAAGATTCACACATGTGAATTTGCTGTTGAAAAGGGAGAAAGTCCAGTGAAAGTAAAGATAAAGACCGGGACTGAAAGGGGAGAAGCTACTGTAAGTGGATGAATGGAAGCCTCGACCATTGACATCAACAAGCAACGGCAGAGGGATGCAAATTCATTCTCAAATTGAAATTCATGAGTTTACATATGAATTTGAAACATATGATTTTTTGTCTTTGAAATACATGTATTTGAATTAAATTCAATTACACTATATTTTAAATATAACAAATAGTTATATTGAAATTAGGGAGGCCAAATTTAAATACATTCTTTGAAATTCACATCCCAAATTGACTATCTTTGAATTTCATGAACTTGTTTTGCCCTATTTTGGTTGATTTGAGCACATTTTGCAAATTAAAAAAGATAAATAAATAATTAATCTAAATAGGTTTTATAACTCCCAATTTTAAAGTGTATAACTATATGTCGTACTATCAATAAGGGGTTAAAGTTGATATATTGGCTCCTCATACCCATAAAGCTACATGACACAAAATTGATAAGAAAATCAGTAGACATGTGGGGTATAGATTGTGAGGTCCATGAGTTCCCAATCAGCACAATTTGGATAAGAGATGAATCTAAAAGACGTCATTCCATTGGACCAAATTTGCATCACAATCCATATGCCAATGTCTCACCCAAAAACATAATCAGAACCTCATTTCTCCTCCACAGAGCTTTGAGTTCCAATACTAGCACAAAGCCGCAACATCAATGGCAGCAACTATAGCTTACCTGGGAATTCTCAACCCCAAATGCCGAAGCATCAACACCTCCAAAACCCCCAACCCCACAAAGCCAACCACCAAACCCTCCTCCCTCCTCCCCATCCAGAACCTCCCGAAAGGCCTAACCATCTCAAAACCCATCCTATCTTCTTCACTCTCAGGCACCGCCCTTGCCGGAGCAATCTTCTCAACCCT